TGCAGGTGCAGCTCAACTCGGAGTGCCCTGGCGTCTGCGTACGTCTCGGCTGGCTAGCCGTCGCTACCCCGTGTCTTCTTCATGGTTTTCAATGCATGGCTTTATCCGTGTTGTCAATAAATTATGTAAATAATGCGCAAGAACTGGAAAAAATCAAGTTCTTGTGTTGGTATTTTTCATGCTGTCTTGAAAAGGAATTAAAAATGCTCTTGAGTGGTGAGGAAATGAGAAGCGTTTAGCCGCACCCGTCTTTTGCTACTGTATTGATAAAGGCATGTTGCCGAAGTATCGACCTATCTTTGTCTCCATTCCGCTGTTTTTTTTTTAGAGGAATAAGACCATTACTATTCTTTGCGAATAAGGCTGTTACTATTCTTTGAGGAAAAAGGCTATTACTATATGTCAATAATGTTCCTCGCAAATGCACTGAACAACTTACGGAAATTGAACCTTATAAATAGCGTCACCTGCACCAAAAGTCCAAAGCAGCAGCAAACCAACCAGGCTGTCACATTCTTGAAGCTGAAAGATGTGAGGCGCCAAGCGTTGCATTGTGTTACTGGTAGGGTGTGTAAGTACGTAAACTCCTATTCAGTCTGTGGCGAGGGGGCTCCAGCACAATCTGAATAATACATAAAAAATGAATGACCAAGAAAAGAAATTGAGGTGTAGACCGACCACACAGGCTCCAGCCTTGCCCACTTCAATAGGAAAGTGAGTCAAAACCGGAGAGTAGCCCAATCTTGTGCGCTATGGGTTTGTTTATCGATAAGTTTTTTCTTGATCAAATATTTTAAGCGGGACCAGACGGACAGTGCTGGGATTGGATGCGACCGGACGGCGGCATTAGTCGGAATCATACGTAGAATATGTGGAACCATATGGGGCCGGGCAAAACCGGACGGAATCAGACGGGATCCAACGAAACCGGGCAGGACCGGGCTGAACCGGGCGAAGCCGGATGACACGTGAGGAGAGCAGGAGAGACCGGATGGCACCGGACGGAAAGCATGTCCGTGAAGTTAGCGATTTATTCAGCGATTTTTTCAGCGACGCGTTCCGATTTCTCTGAAAAAGAGTCGCAAGGTCAACTGTGACATGAGAACACCAAAAATGACCCTTATTTTGGAATATCATGTGACCATCAAGGTCAAAAGCCGGGTCAATGAACGGGGAACTCGATATCACCCAAAAACTACTGGCCGATTTGAAAACTGTGAGCATCAAAATATTCACAAGCGCAAGAGCTAGCGTCCGCCAAAAAGTCCTAACCCTCTCAAGGTAACCCCTCAAGGTCAAACGAGGGCTCAAAGGACGGAAAACCACTATCACCCAGAAATTACCGGCCGATTTTCAACTTACAAACACCAGAATGTTCCCCACATAAAGAACTACCGTCCGTCAAAAAGCTCTGACCTTTCAAGGTCACCCTTCAAGGTCAAACGCGGGTTCAAAGGACGGGGAACTACACATCACCCAAAAATTACCGGCCAATTGCAGGAGGTCAGGATTTGTGACGAACACCAGATCTTTCTGTGGTGAATATTCTATAAGATAACGAAACAAAGAAGAGCGCGGCTGACTGTATTTTAAACGGTCCCGGCACCCCCCTGCACACCTCCCCCACTCCTCTCCTCTTTCCCACTGCCGCCGCGCCGGCCGGTCCGGGCGGCAGTTAGCTGACTCAGCAGCCAGACAGGGCTGAGGAGACGACCCCACATGTATCGGCCGGCCAGCTCGGCGTACACACAGCACACTCCCCCCTGATCTTAGATCACCGCACATCACACATCATACACATGGTCATACCCATAATACAACGCGTCTCATTGGCACATGGTACAACGGGCGCGCTGCCGTACAGCACGACAACTCCTCGGCGGCTGGTGCTCTCGGTTCACATCATGACCGTCAACTGCCAGGCCCTCAATGTTCCCTCCCGTTCCTGGCTCTGCCTCCGGCGCCCCGGCTTCCCTGACCTCGCGTTCTGCGCCCAGATCCACACGCGGAGCCGATATTTGGAACACGTTCAGCTCGTCTACATCAGAGCCTTGCGCTGCCCCTTTTCCTCACTCGCATCATCTCGCTCCACCCTGGCGACACGTAGGTCGCGCGCGTGCCGAGGCATCCTGATGACCTCCACGGTCTGCGCGGACAGCACTTTGGTGACGGTGCCGAGCGGGCTCCGCTTATCACATCGGCGGCTCGGGTCCCACACCCACACACTGTCGCCAACACCAAACTTATATACCACTACGCTCGGCTCATCCACCGCTCTGTCAATTCCGTGCACGCGCAGCTCGTACCGGTGTACCACGTTCGCGGGCGCAGTCTCATGTCCCATCCCGTCCTTTGGTGTTACATTGTAGATATAGACTGCTTCAGCCACCGAACAGTGTGACCGAGCCACGACAGATTTCACCGTTCAGTGGCATCGTTCCACCACCCCGTTTCCAGACGGTGCATGAGCTGCACGGAACTGGCGAGCCCCAGCCGGCGCGCGGAGTCTCCAAATTCTGCACTGCGGAAGGCCGTAGCGTTGTCTGTCAATAGCTCCAACGGAGCTCCCCGTTCATAGAACAACTGTTCTAGCTGCTCAATCACACAGGCACTGTCCTTCCCCGTAAGCGCCTCTACAACGCGAACCGGGAGGGACCGCAACCAATGACTGTCAGGTAGTGAGCGCTACCGACATGCGTCACGTCCATTGCAAGTCGCTCCCACGTTCCCGACACGCCCAGCCCCCTTCTCTCCCAGAGGACTGGTGAAGGATCAATAGACTGACAGCGCTGGCAGTCCCGCATCACCTCTCTCACTTGACACTTGGTCACTGTCGTCGTCGGTCGGGCGTGCCTGCGGAAATACAGGGTGCGCTTAGCTCCTGGATGTCCAGAGAGTTCATGCACTCTGCGGATTTGTGACAGCTCCGCCGCCTCATCACTGGAGACGGCGGTGCAGGTGACACCGTTGGACGCAGCCGGCAGCCACTTCTGCGACACTCGAGAGAGAACATCAGCCTTGTTCCTACAGGAGCTCACAAAGCTGACGCTGACCGCCAGCTCGTACTCCTCGATGGTCGACTTAAAGGTCTGCAGGCGCCGGCGAATCAGCATTTCGCTAGCCGCCTTTGTCCTCAGCCGAGCTTTGCCCGAGAGCGCGTCGGAGCCAGCTCCCGTCTTCCACTATCCCCCCGTTCACCTCCAGGACCGCTCCCAGTGCCAACGAACAAGCGTCCACCCACACTCTCGCCACGGCACCGTCCACGTCCCACCGTCCTCCCGCGAGGTCAGCTTCTGCCGCACGGCGCAGCATCTCTTCCACCATCCCGGTCACGCGTGCGTCTTTCACTTCCTCATCCCACGATGTTGTCACTGAGTTTGTCAGGCGCTTTACGAACGAAGTCGCGGGTCGAAGCCACCCGCAGACCGGCAGATGGGCGATCAGGCGGCCACACAGGGAGAATGCACTCCGTTTAGTCAGTGGTCGCGGCGCGTCAGTCACTTCGTTGTCCCTCCGCCACACGAGCCGTCCTCGCTTCCCCTCGACGCGCGGTCCGAGCACACGGGCGCCGTCGGACAGCCGCACGGCTGGCTTACAGTCGAGACCATACCAGCGGAGGTGGGCTTCCACATACTGCGCGGGGGCGACGTTTTCGTTGACGAAAATATCGTCCACATACGGGGACACTGCGCGGTCGATTCTGGTCCCAGCTCAGCACTGCAGCCAGGATCTTCTTCAGCACCAGCGGCGCTATGTTGAAGCGGAGCCCCAGAGGGGTCAGGCAGCACCGGGTGCCACGGAACACGACCGTCTGGTAGGACCAGAGATTCGTGAACATCGATCTGAACATCGAACATCGTATGCCTTACGGAGATCTATCGGTGCAGCGTCGCGCCCCAGCTTACGCCACTCCCGTAGCTTCTCAGCACACACGTCTGCGTCTGCGGTGTGAGCTGTGACGTGGTCATTGAGTTCCCTGAAGCCCAGTACTGGTGTTACTTAATCCTTGTTTGGGTTGACGACAGCCGTCAGAGGAATGGTTCCTTGGACCGGGCCGTGCAGCCGCTCGTCATAGGGCTGCAACCATTCATTGGCCACCCATGCAGACAGCCCTTCTTCGTACGCGCTCCGTACCGCACCTGCGCTCCGTACCGCAGGTGTTATACGGTACTCGGTAGCCTGATTCAACAGTCTCTCTGGTTTGACACCCTCGGCCCATTTCCACACCACAGTCCACTTCCTCTTCTCTCTGTCATACGTGGCCCGGAAGTCCGTTTCTTCCACATTTACCACTGCCGCTGGTCTCCCACCGCTACCAGTTGCCGCCGCCACCGCCGCCCACTCACTGCTCCCGGCCTCTGCCGCCACGGCCGACCCCTCACCGCTGGCGGCACGCTGATTGTGAGCAGAGACATCTCCCTCCCCTCCCCCAGTTCGGAGACGTACACTCAGCACCCGGCGGTTCCTTCTTCAATGGTCGTCACACCGCCCCCTTGACCCCGCCATGGCGACTCGCGGCCGGCTGACCGATTTCCCTGCGTGACGCGCCGCGGGGTACCCACAGCGACACCGATCCGGACCGAAGGTATGCGTCGGCTGTTCGTGACTGTTCGTGACTGCCAAGACCAACCGGCAAGGTAGCCCGCTCAATACCCAGGATCTCCTCGTCTCGCTGCGAGAACACCAGGGTGTGGCAGCCCAGATCAAACTTGGAGGCTATGGCTGAGGGGCTCCTGATCCCCTCACCGACCAAGACCGGTGGGAAGCGCGTTTAGCCTGGCTCCTCCTCTCTTGCTGGAAGAGGCCCCTTCAAGCACCCCCAACAGCTCGCAGAATCACTGAAGGACTCCCGCTTACCACCATCACGACGAAAAGGTCATGCTTCACGGTGCGGGGGGGGGGGGGGGGCTCATCTCCACGCCAGCATCGCGTTTTCTCCATCGGCATGAGTGCGCCTGACGTAAGCCCAGCATGACATCTTTCTCGGCTAACAGACAACGGAAGCCACCAGCTGTAATATATGTTTCCATGGTATATATGGCACGTCAATCAAGAACGATCGTTACCATGTGACCATCCTTTTGTATTCACATGCCCACACGGATACCCCTTGCTAATATAATGTAGTCGAGCATCATTTGACTTTATCACGCGACAGCAAACCATTGAAATTAATATCATCATTACGCGTGTAACCACAGCCATGTATCAATAGAATGTCAAAAACAAATTGTAAAACCCATCAATACAGTTCACCTTTCAATGATACTTGTAAAATGGTACTAGAAGTCTCGGTCCACATTGCTTCCATATGACAGTGGTTTGGTCCGCTCATTGACATTAACGTCAAGTCGAAAGCAGGTCACACCTTATCCATACAAGGCGCACACCAGATAACATATCACTCACAGTGACATCATACATTATGCTTCTCATACGCATCGGTTTCAAATTGTACATCAGTCACATCGAGCAGCCCATATCGCATAATTCCCAATATCTACCGCCTCGCGACCGCTAGCGCGGTGGGCATACGCCTGCTCTGCTGCATCACGCCTGCTTGATCACCCCCTTCTTCAGGATGATGTTTCCGTACAGGGAGCGCTCGCCAGTGTGCACAACGGCGAACGACCTCTTAGCGCGCTCGTAGAAGGCGAACCGCTCCACCAGCTCCACGCCAACGGGCGCGCCCTCCGAAAGCGCCAGGAGGCGACGGTACTCCTCCCAGACGGGCGCCTGAAACACCGTCGCCGTCAGCACACGACGGCTGAAACGCAGGCACGCTCAGCAGATGGACGTCTGAAACATCTCTCCACAGATAGTCGGGCATCTGAAACGCCACATCGCAAGCAGCTGGACGTCTGTAACATCTCTTCAAAAACAGTCAGATGTTTGAAACGCCGCATCAAAAACAGTCTGACGCCTATAAAATCTCTCCGAACAATCAGACGTCTCAAAAGCTGCATCACAATTAGTCGGACGTTTTAGCACCTCTCCATAAATAGGCCGATGTCTGAACTACTGCACCACAACTAATCGGAGACCTGTAACGCCCCTCCACAATTCGTCGGACGTCTGAAACACCTCTCTGCAGATAGCCGGACTTATGTAACGCCGCTTCACAATTAGTCAGATATCCGTAACGCCGCTTCACAATTAGTCAGACATCTGTAACGCCGCTCCACAATTAATCGGACACCTGCAACACCTCCCCATAAAGAGTCGGATGTCCGAAACACTGTATACAAATAGTCGGACACGTGCAACGCCGCCCCACAATTCGTCGGACGTCTGTAACATTCATCCACGAACAGCCGAACGTCTGTAAAGCCGTTCCTTCAACATGTGAACGTCCGAAAACACTAAAAAAAAACACATACACACATTGTAACGCCACGCTTGTCCCCACTGATAGTAATCTAAAACAACTACTGCCCTCTACAGCGAACGTCTGAAATACCGCTCTACTTCACAGCTGCGCCACTGAAACACCGGTCCGCTCAGCAGACGGTGGTCTGCAAAACCGCCCTACACTGAGCGCGGCGCTCGACCACTTTGGTACCTATTTTTTCGGCAAAAAACAACGTCCCGACAAAAATACGAGTGCGAAAGACATCTGCGCAACAAACGGGTGCCTAAGACCACTCACCACCATCCAGCAAGTGGACGGCTCAGAAAGCACGCCGCTCGGTAGACAGTCGCTCGAAGCGTCGTTCCACTGAGCGGACCCCTATCCGAAACGTTCCCGTCCAATTTGACACCAGCCAACTGATGGGCTTCTGATAGGCCACTGAGAATATTCAATTTCGTCAACTAACAACACTGTCCCTGCCCCCCGACCTCGGGTCGCTAGTAAGAAAGCAGCGTACCTGGAGTCCAGCCGCCTTGTCCTCGGGCACCATGTCCATAAGCGCCACCGGCTGCGGCACGTACGAGTCGAGCGGCAGCAGCTGCAGCAGGCTCTCCAGCAGCTGCGGGATCGTCTGCCCATCGGCACGCACCTCTCGCGGCCCCGCCCGGCACGTGGAACTGGTCGGGAAGTTGGCGTCGGCCAGCACCAGCTCGTCGCCGTGCCCCATGCTGGCCAGCACGTGCAGCAGGTCCGGGGACAGGTTAGATGGAATGTTCTTCAGCATGGTGGCTGGAGCAGAAGGGGGAGGGTTACAACAGAGGATCACAAATAATGAACATACAGTGGTAACAGGCAGGCTTACAGCCCATGGGAGGGCTTACAAAATGATTGGCAGTGCATCACTGAGGAAATAAGCCGTGGAAATACAGGGTGCAATCAGTCACACAAAATGGCTGGGGTGGCCAGAAGCAAATCATATAGACTTATCCATCCCAGACATGACACTGTAAAGTGTGGGTCCAATGTTCAGATAAGCTACTTGTGCAGTATTTTCTAAGCTGTTGGTCTTACCAGAAAATTTGATAAGCCTTTGGTCTTCAAGCAGATGTGTCACCTTGACAAGAAATTTTGAAGCGGATCATTTTGATTGGGTCCAAGATTTGTAGACTGATAGACTATGGCATAATCATTTGGGAACCTAAAAAGCTATGTTGGAAATACAAAACTTCCCAAAATGTTATAGGTCAAAGTGCACAAATTATCACGGTGGACCCTACTGAGCTTACAGCTTGTAGACTCAGACAACAACCTAAGCATTTAAAGATCCTGAAAGTTGAGGTGGACATACAAATGTTTTAAGATATTATAGTTAAAGGTTTTAGGTGAAAAAGCAGGCTTTTGAAAGAGCTAAACTTTGGTGGACTGAAGCATGCTGACCTTAACATCTGAACACCCCAAAAAGCTGAGGTGCACATTAGAAGCTTTTCATGCCAAGTGAGCTCAGAGCTCTTTGCAAGAAAAAGATACCAGCAAGTTTTGTGTATCCTTAAATATTCAGGTTTTGAAATGTTTTCATTAAGCTCTGTGAGACTACATATTCCTACCACAGTAGAAAGGGTCCCCAATAAATGACCTCAAAGTTTGGTCTAACATGGCCAACAGACTATTGTATGTCCACCTTATCTTTTGGTAATTCCTAATGCCTGGGTCAACATCTCTGTATAATTTTCCACTCAATCAAGAGGGTTTGTACTTATAAACCTTGAGCTCTGAGATGTAATATCAAGAAAGTTTTGTGTGCCCAACACAACTTTGGAATTCCTCAGCTGCTCAGCTCATGGTCAGAGCATGCTAATTTTCAACTAATTAAAAGGGTCTGTTATTATCAATCTTGAGCTTGGACCTATCATATCTTAAAGTTGTACCACCTTAGTCTTTGAAATTTTTCAGTGTTGAGCTAAGGTACATGAGACCACAAATTTTGAGCCTAATGAAAAAAGTCTGCTCTGATTACCATTGGGTGCTGAACTACACATCGTAAAAACTTTGAGAGAGAGGGATATATATATATATATATATATATATATATACTATTAATCTTAATTTCCTTAAGTCATGGTCTGCATCTTCAAGATTTTACTTTGATCAATATACCATGCTGATTATGAGCACTCAAACTGAATAGGCCTCTTAGCCTTGGCACTATAATGCATCACCTTTAAAGCCAGAAACATTGGCCTAACACCTGATTTCAGTTAGGCTTGGCATTACTACCCTTCATTAACTAAAACAAGCACTAAGGTGCAGCTACCTATTTAAGTAAGAACCTCCCCAATTCTGAGATGGAAGTGAATTAAATATGGACATACCTACTTCCTACTATTTTATATATCTGCTAACTATATGCCTATTTTAGTGCATTTGGGGGGAGGTTTAGCCATTTTCCCTACTACCTCCCTAACATATTTCCAAACAAAATATACCATTTCAGCACAGAACTGACATGCACACATGCATGCTGCATATGCATATTACAATGCACACACGCTATACCAACAGGCATCATATTTTGAGAGTAAAACGAAGCAGGATTTTCTTCAGCATAGCGCGGCATCCGTTTACATTAGGCTTCTGGGACAGCACGGGTCGCTTATATAAAACAAATTCGAACTGAGTCGGCCTGCACTATGAGGCCTACCCGTGATGCCAGCCCGAAAGTCAGTGTGAAGTAATCTGCGTTAGACCCTATAATACAATCCAACGAGTTGGCCCAAAATCGCACTTGCCGAAACGAATCACACTGGCAGACTGCCTGCCAAAATTCGCCGTTGCAGCACTTATTGTCGCGAGGGCTATTGCTCTTCCAGCTGTCTGCTAGTCTGAAATATGCTCTGCTATGCTTTTAATCTTTTTATTTGCAGAAAAGTGCTTTTTATTTTATTTATATCCCATACAAATTTATAATACCTTTAAAGCGTGAAAACATTAAAAATTTGTGTAGCATTTCACAAGCTTAGTCTAAGCTGGACTTTGTTCAGTGGGAACAGTTGGTGGGAACAAAACAATGGAACGAATGGCTGTCAGCGGGGCGTACATATTGCCGTACGTGCGCCGCATTAGCAGACATACCCAGATTGAGAACCAAAAGACGTTGGTAAAGAAGAATAGGGTGGACGGACTATGCGTGAAAATTGGGACTGAGATATTGTAAGCAGTGGTCTTTGCTCAGTGTTCTCAAGTTTGTCATGGGCAGAGTGTCTTTTGTCGCCGTCAGGTATCTCGGGATATTTTGATGGTTAACAGGAAAAGGCCGAGTCAACAGATTGCCATCCTCTCGTTATGCATGTGTCCTCTCCAATTTGTTCCTTCATCCCTCTTTATGAACCATTGCAAATGGAAAACCCGTCAGCTGCCAAGCACTGAGGTGTCTAGCCTCCTCTGGTTATTACACTGCAAAAAATGCAGGCATACTCAACATGTCTGGCATGGTAGTGACAACTGACAACCTCATTGCACACACATATAGGCTGATAGCCCATATTTTGGCACAGCCACTACTGATCCGAGTGCATGAATAGGTATTGGTTCAAGCCACTGTGATGAAGCTAGTGAAATTTCAAGTAAGAATACCCAAAGCAAATTTTCAAGTAAACATTTAAGACTGGGTATGTTGGCCTGGCCTGACTGTGGTGCACACATCCTTGATATTCAGTGCACATGCCTCATATAAGCAGCATGCTCAATGAGTGGATTTATTGCAGGCTGGTGTAGTCATTTTTTCATAATAACAACCTGTGTACATTCAGTGTATATGCCACTATGCTTGGCATGCATATGTCATTCACAGCTGGAACTTCCTAATTCCCAAACTTATAGTCTCCATGTTGAAGTCTGAGCACAAACATAATTTTTCATATTTTGACCATGATTAAATAATGAAGTTTCAACACAGAATAAGTGAAACAAGCTTGGGGAGAGGGCATAGGTGGCAGAGGGGGGAAATATAGCAAAACATATCCACAGAAGGTATCAAAAACAGGTTTCTCCCTGATTTGGGACCACTTGTTACTCAAAGATGTGAGATGCTGCAGCCCCCTTTAACTGATGAGAAGCCTTTTGACCATCCTTAATTACCTCTATAATGGTGTGAATTTATTTTGTTCAGCTGCCATACTATCCACTTCCATATTTTAGTGAATTATTGCTTACTTTAATTCAGGTAAGCATTTGCAAGCCTTGTGATATATTATGAAGGTTTGGTTCTAGACAGTCAGTATGAAGTGTGTAGGGGCAGCTCCAAGTCAGTGTGGCATGCAATGTGACAGCATCATTTTTAATGTTTCAGATGTAAATCTGCTGTGAACAGAGAAGTGAAATTGGGTGGCTCTGTGAATCAAAAAGTGATGGCTGAGGGCTGGACAAATAATGTCCTTTGCAGGTAGGTGCTGTATTTTCTGGCTCTGGATGATTTGGGCTATTTTACATCTCACATGAGTTTGCTCTGGGTAATAATCTGCTTTATTGTTTGTGTGCATCTCAATTTTGCATATGTTGCATAGCAGCTTAAGCTATTCAGCTAAGCAATTTCCTATACTGAGATGCATGCTGTCAGCCAATTTTATCCATTTCACTTTTAGTTTTCTGGCACAATCAAAGACAAAGGGGAATCACAATTTTGGGCTGCACCAGTTCTGTAGGTTGCGCTGTTTCTGTGGTTCCACTTACAAGCTCTTAGAACATTAGGTTTTAATTCATATAGATAGATACTTTCTGTCAATTAAGTTCCAAGGTGTTTGTATTAAGTTTCCATTAATGATCATTCATAGGATCCTCAGAACACTTAACCCCCATGATCCTGCAATGTGGCAATTACAGAAGACCAACCATAAATAAAACAGGCACTGAAATATTGATGTTAAGACCACTGAGTGGTCTTATATCAATGTGCTAGTATCTTTTTAGAGTTTTTTTAGAGTCCCCGTGCTAGTATCTTTTTGTATCACATATCGGTGAAAACTCTGGATTGAAATGCCAAAATTGCACCAAACATTGCCAAAAAGCACATGTAACTTGATAATTACAACCAAATATCAGCCATGTGTGTCATTTTTACTTGGAGACTCCTAACCATGCATAACAATTATCATCTGGTGTGTTTGCATCCTATTCAAGTATGTAATCCAGTCCATGCCCAGAACATAGCCTGTGTTATGCTTATAGCATATGTGTACTCTATGATATGTGCCTGAGCATAGAAAAATTGGGGCTGCTTTTTTATACACACTAGATATGTTTGTGTGCCTCTGATACATTTATGTAATGAAAGCCTTGCACTAATAACACTCAGAACATTCCATTCAGCCATGAGCTTGGGAGAACTAAGGAAAAAAAATGCTACTTAGCCACAGCTGTTTTCAATTTATGTTCCATTTGCATCATTAACTCACTCAGATTTTCTGAGTTCAGCCTGGTGACCACAAATGGTCCCACTGTTGAGTCTACATTTGTCCATTTATCTATGTAATTAAATCAAACATGTCTGCCTTAGAATGCAGTTTTGCCAGTGACATATTGTGCGCTAACAATTTTTTGTTCTAAGTGGTCATTTCCGCCAAGCCCTTTCATTGCCATCATTGTTCAGTCTAGTCCACCTGCTGCCAACTTATTTATCAATAGACTATGGCTAAATCAGGTTTTCCAGAATTTATGTCAAAGGTTTTGTCAGCTGTACTTTGTTAATACACTCCTTGATGAACCTGGTATGGATGAGACTTCAATACATTGGAACATTCTCGTCAGCTATCAGCACCAGCTGACCAGTCATGCGTTGCAAGCATGACCAAGCATGTGTGATGCCATACAAGCTGATCAGCTAGCTGAGAGGGGCTTGGTTCCTTCCATGCTTGAATAGTGTTGTGGAAAGCTGTTCATCTCAGATGGGCCATTTGCATTGATTATGAGCTTTTTGGTGTGTAGAATGTGGTCAGGTTGAATTGTTTATTATGCGCTGTTGGTGACCCTGGAATATTTATCAGTAAGATCTCAGTGGTATCTGATCCCACATGTTCACTGTGGTGAGTTGAACAGATCTGCCTTCCATGGCGGGCATTGGTCACGTGGCCGAAACCAGCAACCTCCCACCCTGCTCACGCCAGCGCCTGGCGCGCAGATACTTCATGTACGGCACGTGTCGCAACGGCACGGGCTGCACGTACTCGCACGACTCGAACCTGGCGCGACCCACGCTGCCGTGCCGCTTCTACAAGTGCGGCACGTGCGCGTACGGCAGCAAGTGCCAGTACCTGCACGAGACGCAGGCCGAGGCGGCCGGCCGACAGTCGGCGGCCGACGCGGCGCCGACAGCCGCCGGTCAGCCGAGCAAGACTGGCGGCAACGGCGGCAGGTGAGGGCGGCGGTGGCGACGGCGGCGACGGCGGACTGCGACGGACCGTAACGGACGTGTCGTAAAGATCCAGCTGGCTCGGTCTTTGTGTTGTGGTGTTATGCGTACCATTGCAATTGCTTAGTTATTACGTCGCCGCTCTGTTTATCCGTTTCGCGCATCAAATCGCATGCTTTTGACTCATATGAGTAACGTTTGTATGGGAGCCGCGGTGCCGCTCTGTCGCCGCCGACCTGAACTCACCGCCTCGGCCGGCGGCCGTCCGTCTGACCCAGGCGGCCGATGAAGGACATCTGCCTGCGGGACATGTCGACCGGCGCGCGAGTGCCGGTGAACTGGGCGGACGCGCCCGAGTTCGTGCCCAGCTCAGGCCGAGTACCTCCGGCGTCAGGTAGGCCGCGCGCCGTGAGCTCAGCCTTGTGCTGACGGCGAATCCCCCACGCCGGCGGACAGCCAGAGAGGTTGATGTTACTGGGGTGTGCGCCATGCATGCCGGTGTACACCAGTAATACCTCGATGCTGGCACATGTGCGGCACTGCGGGATATATCACTACATCTATATGTCATTGTGTTCAAGGCCACTGTACATACCACATACAACGTATGTTGTACATGTCACTCGTATGCGCCATGAAAGCCAGCTGCGGGGATGGCCGCAGGTCCGGATA